GAGTTGTAAAAGTGAAAAAATTCATGGATGAAGAAGTATTCCATGTATCCTAAACCATAACAAGCACTGTAGTATCCAAAAGACCTTGGTGCCTTCTAATAGAGGTACTTTTAAGCTGTGCTTGTTTTGAGACCAAGTTGTCAGCATGGAGACTAAATGGAGCTGATGTCAGAACATTTTAATGTCTGGCACAACAAATGAAATAACTTCCCTACTTTGCAAGGGAGGTGATGTGCTTTGGGAGGAAGGTCCAGTGGGTCAGCACAGTAGTTCCAGGTGTGCTGCACAAAGACAGACGCTCCAGGGCTGTGGGGTTCTGCTCAGGTACTCAGGGTCTCTTATGGGTCTTTCCCTAAGTTACTCCTGACCAAACTTGTTATAGGATTAGGTAGAAAATACTGAATTCTGACTTGTTCATTTTGAAACTCCCCAAATCTGACTCAAAACCTCTGACTTAAGAGACCTGAGACCTCACTGCGGGAGATGGAGATAGTGTTGATTGCTTAGGTGACACACCTCTGCTAGAAAAAAAACCCTCAAACTAACCAATAAAACCCCAAAACTGAGCATAAATCGATCTATCTGGATAACTTCTTGCTCTCTCACAGGGTCCTCTCTTTCCTTATTTCCTGACTTGTTCTACATGTTTGCCTAAATTCAAACCACTTTAAACCAGCACAGAATTCACAGTTCTGAGTAAACAGTGGAGCCATTTTCAGAGGGCAGTTTTCTGTTTTATGCTGAATTATGAGGTGCTTACCTGAGAAAATGCCTTTTGTTTCTCTCAGAAATCAATATTTGGGGATCTTTGCAGAGGACAATGCTCTCCCTGTTCGGAAACATAGCTGAAAGCAGTCAGGCAATGACAACTGGCTCAGTTCTTTCACGGGATCTGTCCATTCATCAGCAAAATTCAGATCATATAGTCCTTTTTACAAACTAAAATATAGCTAAATGGCTTTTTTTCCTACTAGATGCCATGTATTTCAAAATGTATTTTTTATTACTATTAGAATATTTTTCCTCATTTCCACCTTATTTACTCCTACCTGATTTACATCCTCTGATCTTGATTTATGTACTTTGTTACATAATTCTCCCTATGTTCCACAGATTGTGTTCCATGTATTTTAAGACTGTCACTTCACTTCTCTGTATGAAATAGAATCTTCTTCCCTTTTCACTTAAGTTCATTAGTCTCAGTTCTATTTACCTTTGTTTTTCGTGGCAGCTCATGTGTCTTTATTACTTTTTGGAGAACTCACAGTTCATTTTGCTGAAATATTTGTAAATGTCCTGAAATTAATTTATATTTTTTTTAAAATTAGGATTATGAAGAAGTATGTTTTCAAGAGGGAGTTTTGTTACTAAAAAATATAAATGTATTATTATGGGCCAGGGAAATATTTTTTCTTGTAACTCTCTCCAAGTGGTCTCTGTCATCACTGGTTCTTAGAGCCAGAAAATGGAATTAGCAAGGTGTCATGGAGTTACTTTACCTTTAAGGGAGTTGGAGTTGCTGGGAAGTGCTTGGAGTTTTTTCTCCTGACCAATTATCGGTCATTGCTGGGAATTGACAGCAGTTTAGGCCATTGAAAAGTGGGATCAACTTGTGAACCCTACCTTAAAGTGTAAAAGCAGAGCTCTCTGGGCTCTCTTTGTTTCCTGGCTGTGGAGGGTGGCAGAGCTCCAGGCCTCCCGTCCCTGCCCAGGCCATGCGGCCGGGCGGGGATGGGGCCGGGCCTGCCCCGTCTCCCGGCCGGGAGATGGCGGGGCCTGGGGAAGGTTTTCCTCGGGCCTGGGCCGAGCCGATCTCTGGCTCGGCTGCAGGTTTTGCTGTAACTAATTTACTAGAAACTGCCCAGTGAAGAAAGAGAGAGGCCCTGGACTTGCAGCGGGCTGGAGCAGCGACCACACGCTCCAGAGCAGCCATGAGGAACCTTCCATCGCAGACGGCTCCAGCTCCTGTTCGGCAGAGATCCTCGAACCATCTACAAAAGCCTGGGCAAGATGTTAACTCTTTCATTACCCAGATGAGACTTGCGGATTAATCTTTTTATCCAGAGAGAGAGAGAGAGAGAGATCAACATGAAAAGAGACTTTATAAACTACCAGTGACAGGAAAGAAAAGAAGCTTCAAGAAAGGTAGAGAATTAAGAAGATGCTTTAATTAAGCTGAAATATCTCCCTGTTAAAACTATGGAGATGGACAATAAAGTCCTGAAAAGAACTCCTTTAATTCATGATATAGGATCTAGAGAGGAATAGTATTCAAAGTGTAAATTTGAGTAAAGAGTAATTATGGTATAGTGAAGTGCTGGGAGATTTGAAGCCTTGAGAGGCAATGAGAAAACTGTTTTCTGGTGAAGCTCACAGAAACAGATGAAGAAGACCTTTTTGCCTTTGAATAACTTATCCTTAAAAATGCTATCTCTAGACGCATAGCCCATACACACTTCAGAGTGATGTGAAAATAGGAGGAGTGAACTCTAATAATAGCAGCTCTGGGCAGCTAACATTAGAGCAATGGAAAACTATAACAAAAAATAGTTTTCTGTGAGAAACTCCATAAATTAACAGGAAGAAACTTCTGTTTCTCTATAAAGACTGGTGAAAATACTAGCAAGAATTGGGACTGTTTTAACCATCAGAATTCCAGAGTTTTTGTCTCTGTTGTCATGTGAACAAGGGAATAGTGAGTAGATGGGAGATGGAAAGGTTTTTCTGGAAGTTTATTCTGGTGTTCTTATTATTGTGGTTTGTCAATAAACTTTTTTTTTTCCTTTTTAAGTTGTATGCCTGTTTTGCTCTTATTCTAATCCATATCTCACAGCAAGAAGTAAGTAATTTTCTTAGTGGTTTAAAACCACGACACAAGGTCTTCTGAGTCTGAACACTGCTAGAAGCTCATTAGGGGGTTTAAACACCAAGTCCATATGTTATACTTGAAATTTAACATACAATTTCCTAAAGCACCCTCATAATTTTCTCCTTTTAAAATCACGGTTATTTGGAATATCTGTTGCCTTAATTCTGGTCATTATGATATCTCACGGTGTTTATTAAACACATTACATATGTAAACAAGACCTAACTGCACGACAAATTAGAAAATATTCTGTGGTTTGGCAGCACAGCTTTATCTGAAGGTGGAAGATGTGCTCTGGTCTTCAGATTCCATACATTAACAATAAATCACTATACATATACATATGCATATGCATATACATAGCAGCTTAGTAGGCCTTCCATATCTTCATTTCACGTTGGCATGGAGGAGAATTAGGAGCATGCAGGAGTGAATCCAGACATCTCTTCAAGGATGCAGTAAGTCTGAGTCACTATACAGAAAATAGCAGCAGTGATGGTCCTACAGTGACTTTAGTCAGGGAGCTGGAATCAGGGCTTGGGCTTGGAGTTGTGCTGCTGCAGTACATCTAAGAAACAGCTGCATTGCTGCCCCAGAGCATGGGAGAAGGAACCCTGGCAGAAATAGGGAGGCTTGGATGTTCGGATACATGAAGACACGAGGCTATAAAAATATCTGACTGATAACAAGGAAAGAGTTGTGTAGGATACGTGCAATATGAGGATTTATAAGCGAGATAGCTGGAGCAGCAGCCAGAGGATCAGAATTTACACTGGACTAGTCTGTGGTACTTAGCAGACCTCTATGCTATTGACACCCAGAATCATGGGGAGGTTGTGTTGACCTAGGCTAAAACTCCACAGCATTGTGTTATGTGCCATAATACTGGGTTTAACATGATGTGTTTAAAACACATACGGAAATAATTTCTTTTTGCTTTGAGAATTCATTTCAGAAGGATTAAGTCAGAAGTGTGTTTTGTACAGAGTTATTGTCAGACTGCTTTTGAGGATGGGCCACTGCCCCTGGGATTGCACCCTCACATTACTGCGCTTGGGAGGGACGAGCTGGAGCTGGACCCAGCATGTTGGCACTGGTGCATCACGCAGAGAAATCTTCATTCAGCATCTTGCTACGATGAATCAGTTTTCAAGCCAAAGTAGCCCCTAAATCTGATTCAGCTGAAGATTTGTGTGATATTCCTGCCTCTACTGAAATGAAGACATTACTTCTGGTTTTGCTTTGTTTTGTGGTTTATTTGTTTTGGGCTTTTAAGTTGTATGTGTTGGTTTACATTAATCTTGTTTTATAAAAGGAAGAAAATAGTAACTTTTTATGCTTTCTTTCCCTAATTTTCCCTCTATCTACTTTTCATAATCTTCCACAGAAGAAGCTCATCAACAGAGGAAAAAGGGGGAGGAAATGAATGTGTAACGTACATAAAACATTTAAAAGAAAAGCAAATATTTAGCTACGATTAATTAAATTTGCATCTAAATCTGTCAAGAGGTTTACTTTAGATTGATCTGCTGTATAAATATAAATCTAAAGTAAAGTCAGATATCTGACCCCCTCTCCAAATATTAAATATTTTATATAATTTCTTTCTCTAGATCAACTAAGCAAGAATAGGAAGCACATTATTGACTTAAATACTCATAGAACTTGAATTAGAATAGTTGGAGTTCCTTATTTTGGAGAGAAGTTTCTAATAAGTTCTTACTATTTTCCATCTCTATTATTCCTTAATATTTCTTCCTATTTCAGACAGTAATATGGTTAGGGCTGTATTACACGCATTGCTTCTTCAAGTTCTGTTATACTTAAGAGTATTCTTTTTGCCAAGTATTTTTTATAGGAAAATTTCATATCCAGTCTAATGCTTTACAAATTAAAATAGCTTCTTCTGTAACACTTCCCCATCTAATTGCTTTTAAGGGACTGCTTAATCCATTAGTGAAGGTACTAACTGAGAGGAATTGCAGAAAGAATGGCAGGATTTTTTTAAAAAAGCAGTTCAAATTAAAACAATCTTTTTTATTTAATAGTTGGATTGGGAAAGCATAAATATAACTTCTCATGTTTTGCCATATTTGTAAGGTAAAAATATTAATATAACAATTATTTTTCATTTCTAGCATACACATTACTGCACTGCTGTTTATGAAGTTACAAATTTAGCTCTCTGTTAATCAACATATTGAAAAACAGCAAGTAAATTATTACTGCTATGAATCATGGCATTTCAATAAAGTTACAATATAGAGTGTTATAAAGGTTCATACATTTAGAGTATTTCTAAATTAGCTACATCTATGACATTTAATTATGTTTATAAACAGAATTTTATTAGAGTGCTGCGGGGGAAAAAACCATAAATCATAGATTTTAACACGGAAATTACCCCGTAGTAGGATTTAAAGATAAGATAATTTTTGCTCCCTCTAATAAAATGAGAAATACAATTATTCTATTAAATATTCTCCTATTCTATTAAATGTGAATATTCTATTCCAGTAAATGTTGTCCTATTATAGTAAATGCTATAGCCACAGAAATCCCTGAGCTGTTGCCTCACCCTTGCACAGGCTGTTGCTGACCTCAAGATTGGAATGGTGAATCAGGGAATTCACATGATAGACTAGTCTGGATCAAAGGGGGTTGAGACCCAGTTTGTCAGGTTTGCTTGTTGAATTTCTTAATGAGTTCATGAAATAAAGCTTAAATCACAGAGTACATTGTCATGTGAATCTGAGATGCAAATAGACTGTGACAGCTTTTCCTGGAAAACAAACAAAAAATGTATATTTTTTTGGCAGGTTGTCCTTATTGTCAAATTTATAATAAGACAGGATAATTAAACTCAGTAGGATTCATGTTCTAATTAAAATAGGGCAAGAATTTATTCTATTATCCCATGACACCTTGATGAGACTGCCTTTTAGTTTCATTGAATTTTTCATTAAAAAAACAGAAGCCAAAAAAAAAACCAAAACCAGCAGCAACTGAAGGAAATTTAAAGATGCTGAAGTTTGAGAGCCTCAGATGTCATGGGGACATGCAATTGCATTCTATCAAGGGGTTATGGAATGAGTTGTTCTGAGCCACCTTGGTTTTATTTTTGTACTGAAGAGAGGACAAATAGGGAGATTGGTAAAACAGGCAGTAAATGGAGGCATGAACACAGACATGGTACCAGCAGCAAGGAGCTCTTTGTACATCATATTTTAGTACCAAAGTTTGGAGAGACTTAGGAGCTTGAAAACAAAACTATTCTTTTTTAGATAATATATAAAGGATAAAGGTGCAAAAGGTAATGCAGAAAATTAAGAGATGAGAGGCTATATCTATGGCACATTTATTTGTTTATGCCATGCTTTGTCTGATTTTCACAGGCTTGAACTTTGTTTATTAAATATTGCCATCTATCTGTGACATGAAAGGCACTGAATCTTGGATTCAGGCAAGAAGTGAGAAAGGAGTTAATACGAATTTCCCTTGCCATATAAAAATTTAGGTGTAGAAATATATGTTCCTTCAGGATAGTTGTGTGCAATGCTGCCCACACATTATCTTCCTCCCCAAACTCAGCATGCATGGAAGAAGGAACAGAAGAATAGAGCAGGAGGAATAGAGCTTAGAATTTACCTGCTTTTCATAGCTGGATTAAGTAAATCAGACTGGTGAGGCAGAGCAGTGGCTTATAAACTCCTGTATAAAGGAGAAGGAAGCTGAGAAGGAATGGAGTAGCACAGCTGAACTGCTCTGCTGTGAGAGGGAGGGACTTGTTTGTAGGCAATGAAAAACAAAGAGGGTGTAAGGAGGATACACTTCCCTTCTATTTCCCCCCTTTTCCATTTTCTCTCTTCTGTCACAAGTTTAGGAGTCCTAGGGAAGAATAAGGAATAATATCTCAATCAATCATCATTAGCATATGGGAGAAGATACCCATGATTTCCTGGAGAAACTGTTTAATTGCTGTCAAATTTCTTTCCTGCTCAGTTGAGACAACAATAATGCTTTCTCTCAGCAATTTTACATACCCAGAACTGTATATATTTAAATTTCTGGAAGATGAGCAAAAATTGAATAGACTTGGTAATCTTAAAAGTCTTTTCCAGCTGAAATGCTTCTCTCCTTTCTTAACTTACTGTTGTTCAGTGAGCTGTAAGATTCCACACAGTGAAGCCACACAGTGACTGAAATGCAGTGGAAGAAGTCCAGTTCTGGTGTGAGTATAACAGCAAGAACAGAACTATATACTCACCTTGTGACGTGTCTTACTGATAGGTGTCCTCTCTATCCCCATGCACAGGAAGTACCTCAAGAATATAACCATGAAGAGAGACATTCAGTGTTGTGTATAAGAGGTGCATCAGCAGTGACTCAGATGTGACTTAATAGGACTGAGTAATTACCAGAAGTAACACATCTGAGCCTTCCTTTGGAAATGAAGGCAATAAAGAAGTCTGTATTTCTAATTAAAATAGAAGGTGTAAATTAATCAGAAAATACAGCAGTGCAAGGTTAACACTTTTAGTCTCCAGAGTTTCAGTGTATGAAATACTCACCTGCTTATGCACAGCAGTGCTAGTGGGAGAAGGAAGGGTGGCTTCATTGCATCTTGATAATTGCTTTTGCCACCTCCCATTTAATTTTTTCCGTGTTATGTTCTATGTGTGTTCCTGCAGAACCAAATGACACTAAGACTATAGTTACTTTTAAGACCATCTGAGAAATCAGAATTGCAAAAACAATTCCATAAAAACATGAGTCACCATTACAGGAAAATTCCTTCCAGATTAGTTTTCAAGAGCTGCGTTTGGAGCAACTTGGCAGTTACCAAACAAGAACTGAACTTGCCATGCACTTGGCCCCTGTCCTCCCTGCCATATCTCCCAGTGGTTGGAAATGGTTGAGTTCTTTGGGAAAGTGTCAGCCGAAGTTCTGTTCTGTTTCCAGAAACAGATTCTTATTACTGATTCATTTTCACTGCAAGGAGCTGTAAAACCAACAGCTTATTCTTCCTTCTCTCCATCAGCGTCCACCTGTGGAACAATGAGACAAAAAAGGAACAAAGGCAGCAGTATGAGACAATGAGCAGTACTAGAGTTGTATTTAACAAGTTCTACATGTGAAAGCAACCAGCTGTGAGGGGGGTTGTTGTCTCTGGTGCTTTTTTCACCATGCGTTAACAGCACATTTCCATTCATAGTTACAGGTTTACCCAAATGTTGTTTCAAAAGGCAGTTGCTGGTTATGTAGAATGAGTATAAGCATTTGGGCTTAAAAATGCTAGAATTTTTTTTTCCTATTCATAACTTTGTGTTATGAATTTCAAAATTATCCAGGACAGCCACAGTGTATTCCTTTTCAGTAGATTTGCTTCAACACAATCCTACAGAGCCTCCAGAATCACTGGCTTGCCCCAAATCATCGTTAGCATTTGTGGTGCTCAGGTGTTTAACCTAAGTAGTGAGATGTAGCTGTTGCTTTGTTAGAAAACCTCCTGCCCTATACCTTCAGGAATCACATCTCCCAAGCAGATGAAGTCCTGTGCAGCTTGATGGAAGAGCTCATCAAAATTAAGTGATGCAGCTCTTGTAATCGCTTTTGTCATAGCCCTGTTTCAGCAAAATGAAAGCAGATTTGTTGCCTATAAGGAAAATAGACAAGCAGATTGTTAATATTCAGTGCTGCCATCGAAAGACCCCAGAAGATTGTAAAATATGTTGACACCTCAGAGATTGCTTCTGGAAAGTTGTAATCTATAATTTGATAATTCCTATTCTATAGCATGCTCTGATCCCTTGTCCTGGTTTAGGGCAAATTTGGGAGAAAACCTCCAATGGGCCCCCCCCGCGGGAAGCAAACCCATGTGGCCCCTTTCTCCCACCCCAAAAACCAGTTTGGGAAGAGATTTCTCTGAGAGAAGTGGAAAAAAACTGTTTATTTAACAGGCAAAGCACTACCCAGCACAAGAACGAACAATATCAAATTACAAAACCTCTCGCCCGCTCTGAAGAGATGACAAATTCAGATGACTCTTTCCTGTGGGTGTTCACTCTGTTATCAATCCCTCTGGCACTGGAAAATGCCACTGCCCAGGCTGGGCTCCTGGTAGTCCACGGGTGCAAGCTCCCGGTGCTCCCCCGAGTCCCCAGTCCAGAGCAGGTTTGATCTGTTCCAAGGAAAAGGGAAAGAAAACAGTCCAGGAAGACCTCTCTGCTCCGGCTAGCTGGAAAGCCAGAGTGATCTGTCCCTTGTTGTCTGTCTGTGCTGTAGTCAAAACCCTGTCCCAGGATGCGGGGGGAGCAAGTACAGTCTCTGATAACAGACTTGGTGCTTCTTCTCCACTCACTCTTAGGTGAAATTTTAAGGATACAAAACCTGTGTCTGGGTTAGGTGGATGAATGGGGATACAATTTAACATCACAATCACCCCAGGACATCCCTTTAGGAGCAATAGCCAGCATATGAATTCCTATATCTTAAAGAAACAAAAAAAGTAAAAAACACTCAATTTTCTTCCTCTTTTACAAGGTACTCAGGACTTAATTTAGCAAATTGTTCTTCCTGGACATGCAGGTCTCCCAAAACGATCACCAGCTCTAGTTATTGCCATGTATTTTTCCTATATTTTCATTAAAATAGCCGTTTCTACTGTTGTTTTAATTGCACCATACCTAGCTGCAATTTTATGGTATTTATCTCTCTCCCTGAACGAAGCAATTGCCACTTGCAGCACAGTTTCCAGGAGACACCTGTGAGTGATACAGCCACCCATGGAGTCCATGTGCTTTGTATTTAGGAGGCTGAGAGCTGTGTAATTGTAGTGAAGTCACTCTGTAATACACCTCATTATTACATATATGCTTTTATCCCTGCAAAAAGACTCCAATATTATTTTGTTTCTATACTAATCAGAGAATACCAGGGTGTCTTATAATGATGCAAAGAAGGTAATAATGATGATAATAATAGTAGTAATCCCCTTACTTATAGTGTTCTGTCATTGTGATTGTTCTGAAGGGGTGGGACTATCCTTTAGAAAAGACTTGCCAAGTCCTTTGTGTACGTAGAAACATCATAAAAGACTCAGAAAACATTTTCAAAATATATATGATTTTCCTTTACCTTATGGATAACCTCTGGCTTTGGTTTGACTCCAAGGATTTTAGTGTACTTTTTTCCAATTTTTTGTGAAAAACTCAAAAAGGGAACACAAATCCCTAACATACATAATCCATGGGAGTGTATAATACAGTTATAAGCAAATGAAAGTGGTGATATTACCTTCACTGTTGTCTAATTAGCTTTGCATAATTACATAGACTTTTACAAAATTGTTTTCCTGGGAAAGCTGCTGGACCCAGAAAATGCAACAGAATACTAGAAGCCCAGCTGGTATACCCTGAGCACCTTTAGCATCCAGTGTAGCTGCTGAAGATGATTTCAATTTGTATCCACTGGTGAAAAATGCTGACTTCTTTCCCTTTAACCTAATTTATATAAAACTTAATCCACAGTGATTCCTTAAATTCCTTGAGAAAATGTTGCTCATTTGAATTTAAGTTTTGCCACCAAGCACAGGAAATAGGTTATTTTTCCCCTGTATGTTCCTACACAGGCAGTGTCACCCTCCCTGCAGTTCTTGTTGAGACATCCTTTACACTTAGGATGTTATTGGATGTTTGTAAAGCATTCTGCATGTGAAAGTCACATAACTGCACCATCCAGGAGTATCTGCTATTATCAGCTGCCACTGCCCAGGAGAGTATTAACTTTAAAAAGCCCCAAACCAAGTAATCTATTTTATTCTTAACACTAGTTACAAAATAGATTCTATGTCTTTATTATGATTACTTAAACAGACTTATTACTTAAACATTACTATATGTAATGTATACAGGCTTGCTCACGCAAATTATTTATACAGGCCTTTGTTCAGGCCTTTTTGGGTAAGACATCTTTGGATAAAGATAAATGTCATTGACTTTTTAAAAAGAAAAACTCAGGAAAAAAGTCCACTGATGTTCTTCTATATTTTACTAAGGTGGTATGAAAGGTACTTTTGCATTAAAACAGGATTGTAGTCTTCTGGCTCTGTGCAGTAATTGGTTTAATAATACCAAGGTGTTGTGAGAACAGTCATATTTTGAAGTTGACTATAAATAAGTTACCAATAAAAAGAAATGTCTGTTCAGGTAATTGTAGTATATATTGTAAATAAAACCTGAGTTCTTCTGAACCCATCTATTGCAAATAAATTCGATTTATTTACTTTTCATAGAGGAAAAGTGCTGTATAAACAGCCCTTAAAAATATTTGTTTCTTAGATTATGTCTTAGGAGTAATATTTATTTTTAATAGTGCAAATTATGTCACTGCAATTAATCCACTGAAAAACAAATTTCCCTAGATGCTTTATGCCTTCTTTAGTGTTACTTGCATGTTATTGATAACAAAGATCAAATTCTGTCTTGCATTGCATGTTCTTTTACACCATATCATTTACACATTCATATTATTTACATATCTACATCATATACTACTGGTTTTAATCAGGTCTATTAGTTTCTAATAGTACGATTATTATTGCTAGAGATTAGTTTGATTGTAACAAATGAGACCCATCACCAAAAACCTCCTCCTCCTTCACTACTGGCCTTACTGATTTAAGATTAAATCCAGTGCTTTTTAGAGAGGGCAAATCTCTTAATTAAACACAGTTTTACAATAAACTACTGTATTGGTTTTTGCACAGCCTGGCTTTTGGTACCTCTGGTTTTTGGCCACCTCTGTGGCCCCCGTAAGAAGTTGCTGGAAGCTTCTACCATGTTCAGCAGAGCCAGTCCTTGATGGCTCTGAAGCTGGAGATGCTGCTGATCAAGGTTAGGCCAATGAGAGAGGATGCTAATGCCTCTGTGATAACACATTTAAGAAGAAAATCAAAACAAAGTCATGCCATTTTTCCTAGTCAGAAAAGAAAAGGAGGTGAGAATATGTGAAGGAAACAACATGGAGACACCAAGGTCAGTGCGGAAGGAGGGGGAGGAGGTGCTCCAGGCACTGGAGCCAAGATTCCTCTGCAGACTGTGGTGATGACCATGGTGTGCCCCTGCAGCTGTGGAGAACACCACATGTGCATTTGTTTATCTGCAGCCCAAGGAGGCAGTGTTCACACTGGAGCGGGTGGATTCCTGGAGGAGAATGTGATCCAGTGGGAGACCCGGGGGAGAGAGGACCTTGCTTCCAGGCTGGAGCAGCCTGTCCTTGGAGGGCTGTACCCCAGGGAAAGGGAGACTCATGTTGCAGCAGTTTTGGGAGGGCTGTCTGCCCTGGGAGGGTCTCACATTGTGGCAGGTGTGCTATGGCTGCTGCCTTGAGAGTGCACCCATGTGAGAAGTTCACGGAGAACTGTCTCCTGTAGGAGGGACCCCACGGCCTCACAGGGCCTCACAGGACTCTTCTCCCAGAGCAGCAGGAGAATATCTCAGTGATGAACTGACCAAACCACCATGCCTGGTCTCCCTGTGCTGCTGATGGGAAGGACGGAGGGGCTGGGGCAAAAGGGAGGAAAAAGGGCTTATTTTACTTCTCATTATCCTTCTCTGATTCTGTTAGTAATCAATTAACTTCAGAACTTAAAGCTGAGCCTCTTTTGCTCTTGAAATGTTTTCTCCTGCCCTTTATCTCATTCATGAAACCTTTGTTAATTATTTTCCCTCTCCACTGCCCAGCTGTAGCAGGGGAGGGTGAGTGAGTGGCTCTTGTGAGTGAATGAAATTTAACCATTTTCAATTTTAGTTTATGGGCAGGAATGCCTTGTCAGGAAAGTGAAATGTTGAAGAGATTCAGTCAATTCAAATTTGCCTTGGCTGCTTTAAAATTACATATGCATTTGTTTATCAAATGATGGTTTATCAGGGAAGCTATTCAAGCCTTTCTTGTAGTTACTAGTATTTTTTCCTACTATGAAATACAATTTTATAGTGATTTACATGCTGTTTTCACATGAAGATTTGAACTTGCAAGAGATCTCTTATTAAATTGATAAAATAAATGTCATTAAATACACAGCTCGTTGCCGGACATGGCCAAAATGTTGCACATTAATGGATTATAGCTATATTTATAGGAGCATTAAAATATATCACTTTTATAAAATTAAAGTTTATTTACAATATCACAAATTTTTTCCTCAAACTACAGTCAAACTCATTTGATGTATTATTTTAATAGATCTTACATGGGCTAGAGAAATAAAGTTCTGTTCTTTGTTCTACTTACAAATCTAAACATGGACGTAGTTCAAAGCTCGGAAAGTTCAAAAGCATTTGAGAATTTTCATGTGTGGGACATGGCTGGAACTGCAAGGTTAAAATTAGAGATAAATACAATGCAAGCTCTAATTTGGATAAATTATTCTTAAATGATACTGCGAAAACAACTCAGAGGCATGTAAATATACAATGCACTAAAGAGACTAATCAAAGAGAGGGTTAAGATTTATATACTAGGTGTCTTCAGTATTGTGCCTTTATGCTGTATTTTATAGCCAGCCCTCTGCTTTACTTGCCAAAGTCATTGCAGGAGATTGTCACAATATTTCATTTTAAGATATACAGGCCTGACTTTTGAGGTTCTCAAAAATACAGTCCCTACAGTTCAAGTAGGGCTCTTTCATTTGTTCATCTCAGTCTGATTTTGCTTTCAATTTGTTGGACACACTTCAAGTGATCTGTTTTCACACTGGGCATTACAGAACAAAGAGAAAAAGCAGAGAATTTTGTGAACATTCCATCTATTTAATCTGCAAACCTCAACACAAAAATTTT